AAAGAAACCCTCTGAGATAAGCCAGAGAAGAACTTCAAGCCATAACTTCTTATAAGATGGTTGTGGAAAGTAACTGCAATGGACATATTCCTCACTCAACAATGACATAATAAACAGCTCCTTTGGGGCTCAAGTAATGACAAGCTAGGAAGGGTGGATAAGAGCCCATGCTTATTTCCATATCCCAGGTTTCCTCTGCTGTGCCCATACATCTTGAGAGATCCCAAATATTTGCTCCCATCCAGGTCTCATTTTATTTTGCAAGATAACACCTCCTTTCAGTCAGGAATAATGAAGTGACCAATTAATTGGATGCAAGGAGTCTAATCATACCACCTCAAGCAGCTAGTGTATATGTATCACAGGAAAACAGGAACATATGCTGGAAATCATGAGGTGAACCAGGAAATTCTGATCACCTCTTGGGTATGATCCACCTTTAGGTGCACTTGCAACATGAATTGCCAAACTAGTAATTTGTCATTATATAACTTAAATTATTAAATTATGTGCATGTGGTAGATTATATTTCATACAAACCCTGACCATAACTGATAAAATTATTGCTAATTATGCAAGAACTTTAAATAATATGATGACTTAAAATAATTGAAAGGGAACTTTTTAGGCAGAGCCAGGATAACCATCTGTCAGGTAGATTTCTGCATTGGATGAGGACAGGGTTTGTAGGAAAAGGACTTGATGACCTTTCAGGGGGCTGCCATCAAATATTACATGATATGGCACAGTCACCAAAACATACATACGTATAGAGTTTTTAAGAAACACAATAGGATCCTATGCACATTATGTTAGAGGTGTAAATAGCCTAGAAATGAATGTAACACATTTAATTTTTAATTTATCCCAGGCAAATAACTTACCAATTCTCATATGGCAAAATGTGCTGGAATTACACCAAACATAACACAGCTGATAGTCTCCAGAAGTTGACATTTTAAGATATCAGGATATACAAATCACATTATGCTAAATGTGCAATAAATTTACCACTATCCATATGAATGATGACATAGCAGTTATATGTATAAAGCAAAATAACAAATATAGTTCAAATTTTATTCATTTGGATTGGAGTAGATGGTAAGATTTCAGCTCATTATTGATAAGACCTTTACATCTATTATCTACTTAACTCCTCACAATAGCCCCAGGAAGTCCAAGGCTAGGAGGAACTGACCTTAGCAGAAGGTCATTCTGCTAATCCACACCAGGCAAAGACTTGAACAAGCCTTGAAGGCTGTCTGGTCTGGTGCCCCTCACCGACACTGAACACTGCACTTTCATTTCCCACCCTCGTTTCCTTACTTGTAGGCAACAATGAAAATTCTGTTGCTGGAGTTGATACTGGTAAATGTGGGAGAAGGTTCTCTGAAGCCTGCCTGGCAGACTAAGGAAAACTAATTTGAGTTTTTAAATGTGAATTGAACAAAGTTGTCAGGTCTCTGTGAGGAGAGGTATGGGTATGCTGCTACCATTATAAATGGGCTCAATATTTCTGAAAGCTATTTGATAACTTGGAAAAAGAGCTATAAAACTTTTCTTCCTCTTTGACTCAGTAATTTCAGCCTCTGGAATACACCCCAAGGAAATAACACAAAAGAAAATGGTAATTTGTTCAAGATGTTCATTCAGAAGTTATTTGTATTAGTGAAAAACTAGAAACAACCCAAATTTCCAGTAATAAGGCAAGGACTAAGCAAGCTAGATTATACAGACAAAGAAGAAAATTTCTAATCCCTAAAAATGGCAAATGAAGGCTACATCTGTATGTGGACACATATGTAAGAAATAACTTTAAATTAGAAAGTAGAATACAAATTGGTATAAGTATAATCTTGTACAATCAAGTAAAACAGTATGTGCATAAACAGTCATAAACACAAGAGAACTGTAAATTTACAAAGTATAGCCCTAATTTTGTTGTTTAAATTCTGACAGTGGAACTGGCACATAGACTATGCTTAATAAAAACTTACAGACTTATATTATACAAAGGTAATTCTTTAACTGAGACCTGACTGTATCTCACATATACTAATGTGGCTTCAGTACAAGCTAATCTTTTACAAAGACTTACCAAGTGCTAGGTGCTCTTCCAAGTTCTTTCCTTGTATTTTCTCATTTAATTCCCCTATTGTCCTAGGAGAGTATTTTTATTATATTCTCTCCTAAAAGGAGGAAATTGGAGCACAGAGAAGCTAAGTAACTTGCCCAAGGTTACACAGGCTACGGCAGAGTTGGAATTTCAACCCAAGTACACTCGTCCCCTGGAGGAGGAAGTGGCAACCCACTCCAGTATTCTTGCCTGGGAAATCCCATGAACAGAGGAGCCTGGTGGGCTATAGTCCATGGGGTTGCAAAGAGTTGAACACGACTGAGCAACCAAATCACCACCCTGGCCTGTATGCCCACTGTGCCACAAAGTTTTCTCTTACATGAAAAAAAAAAGCATCTAGATCTTATTCTTTCCTGTTAATCATTTCTAGAATTTGTTTTCTGCTTTTCTTCCTCCCCGCTCCTGTTTGGTTTACTATAGAATTCTTGCAGTAAAGAACAATCACCAGACAGAGCATCTGAGATAAAAAATACTCTCCATTCAGGTGTCACCTGTAATAATATAACCTATGTGCCCTAGGTGATAGAGGTTTCTTTCCAAGAAGTGAGACTAGGGTAAGGTTTTTTAATCAGGTGAGAAAATTGTGGAGCCTGGAAAATAAAATGTTACTTACATTTAAATGTCTTTAAATTTAGTAAATTTCTAACATTTAAATGTAAGAAATAAGCTGCCTGGGAATAAGTGACAAATATAGAAGAACACTTTGAAATTCTTTGGGGAAAATGTTAGTTTTTTAAAAAATTTATGTTTACATTTGACTAGTTTCTTATACTTTGCATAGTATTTGCTAGTGATGACCTTATTAAACTCTCATGCTGTAGAATGCTAGACAGTCTAGTTCACCAAAGAGGAAACTGAAAGTCAGAGTTTAAGGGGCTCACCCAAAGCAGGCTGCTTGTCCTTAGCCAAGCTGAAGCTTGGGCCTAGCCCTTATTCTCAGGAGAGCTAAGCACTGATGCTCTTCAAGGCAGGAACAAGGCCCTCTGCAGACCTTCCCTTTCAATCATCCAGAGTTTATGAAGTCGTAGATTCTAAGTACAAATCCACTGAGAAAAGTTCAGCAAATAAATCTAACATAAATGCAATCAGAGATGAAAATTAAATATATAATGGAATTCTCTTAAATGAAGGAGACAGAGTCAAGGCAAGACTAATATCTGCAGATAAACTCAACTGTTTGGGAAATGCTATTACATTTGGAAAGACCAAACTCAAATCCTTCTATAAGTCCTTATTATGTTCCTGTGAAAGTTGCTCAGTTGTGTCTGATTCTTTGTGACCCCACAGACTGTAGCCTGCCAAGCTCCTCTCTCCATGGAATTCTCCAGGCAAGGACTCTGGAGTGGGTAGCCATTCCCTTCTCCACAGTGTATTCCCATCCCAGGGGTTGAACCTGTGTCTCCTGCATTTGTAGGCAGATTCTTTACCATCCAAGCCATCAGCGAAGCCCTTAAGTCCTTTTAGGAGGTATATTATTATAAGACTCTGTCATCTTTGGTACAAAAGGAGCAAAATAAAATGTTTGTTCTATCTGCACATTCCATGGAAATATTTGCATAGTGAATGAGGTTGACTACATTTTCTGTGTTCCTAAACAGCGTCACCTTCTCACCTAGCTTTGTCTTAAAAAGCTTTCTTCAGAGGTCTGATCAGAGGTCATCTCCTCCAAGAAGCCTCTTCAGAGTCTTCAAAGGAGCCTCGCACTCCCTTTCCTAGGCACTCACATCAGTCCTAGAATATCTAATCGCTACCTCCCCTTCCTCCTTGTGCAGACCACACAGCATAGCACATCTGGAATTTACCTTTGTTTCTCATGGCCCCCGCATAAGTACCTTACACACTATAGCTGATTATTAAATGGGTAAGACCTTGCCTGAGGTCCTATCACACAGTAAGAGTTTATCAACCTTTTCTGGGATTTGTGCTATGTAAATCTGACTAGAGAAATGACCTCTCAATAAAAGAATCTCTTAAAAATCTTTTTCCTTATAATCATATTTTATGTTGACCTTTTATACCAGAACATTTGTATTAATTTAATGCATTAGTAATCTGCACTGGCAAACAGCAATCTCACAGCTAGAAGGTTAAATTATAAAGTGTTTTTTAGAATCAAACAGGAGTATGGCAATCATAAACCGAAACAAATTAACTTGAGATTTGCTTTTGCCACAGGTTTTATAAATATTCCACCAGGTTCTATTCAACAGGAATGGAAAGAGATTCGAAGCCAGAACTTCAGCTCTTTGAAGCTCTCTCTTTTAAAACGAGCTGGTGGATAAAATACTGGTGAGAGAATTCAACATTTCAGAGCAAAGAGTACATCATTTCTGCCAAGGTCAACTGCTCTTCAGGGACAAAAATAATGTCCTTTTTATTAGCAATTTGGAATAACAATTAAATAACATTCATTTTATTGAGATTTTTATAGAAGGACTGAGAAAATAATTCTTCACAGTAGTTATAAAAATATAAGAAAAGGGCTGAGTTTCAGAAACACAGTAATCTTTTTATCTCCCCTATCTTCCCTTGGGCTGTGTGTGCTGGTATTATGATCCTCAATTAAAAAGCTTATTTATAAGAAATATAAAGACTATGGAATAACAAGAAAACTACTGGGGATTGCAATGAAAAGCAAGTTAAGGTGAAGATGAAGTAATTATTTTCAATTATACTACATTCTATGATATGACATAGAATAAAAAGCTCCCATTATATTTCATATAATAGGAGAAAAAGTTCTTTGATCCATGAATGGTCTAATCCAACAGCTATTCACATAATTCCTGTCCTTTTCAGGGAGAATAGCAATCAGTAATCAAGAAGGAGAGTACAAAGCACAAAGTGCATGAAGTCTTACTTTTTCGTCATCTTCGGTAAATGGGGCTCCCTCAGGAATCTTGTTGATGGCTTGGGCCACGCCGATGATCTCGCCATCACTGCTTCGGATAGGCATGCACAGTAACGACTTCGTCTTGTACCCAGTTAGTTTGTCGATTTCGTCATTGAATCTTCGATCCTAAAAATAAGACAAGAGAGGGCATTGGTTGCCTATGCCTGGTTGTCAAGAGGAAGGAGAAAGAAGTGTATTTTTGTCTATTTCTGTGTATAGGAACTTATCATTGGGAACCTCACCTCACTGATTTTTAATAACAACAACAGGTTTGATTGCATGTTGAATTCGCCAAAGGATTATAAATGAAAACAAATCACCCCCACAGTTGTTAACCACGGTAAATGAAAAGAGAAACTTTAAACCCCACCACAACAACATAGCAAAACTGGCGGAGGGGGAAGTGTTTTGTGTAGAACTTCACACTATGCTATTTACTAAAATATGTTATTTCACAAAGACAACTGATTACAAAGTATTATATCAGAAAAATACATAATAAATATATTAAGCCTTATGAAAAAAAATGCAGAAAAGCACTACTTTTCTTCCAGTCAAAATGATCCTGTGGAAAAAAATAGAATGTATGAGCCCATACTGATACTTTTTAAATACTTCTTAAAATGTTTTTAATGTAATGGGGAGGAAGGAGGTAACAGGTTTCTTTACAGAATGTTAGCTAAAAACGTAGAAGAAATGATAAAATTATATAATACCTATTTTGCAACTACCAATGCAATAATGGATACAAGCAAGAATCATTTATCAATAGATGCCAATACCATTAGGTGAAAAAATACTGTTAAACAAGTTATTCACTTAGTCTCAAAGTGCTATCCCACAGATTCCTCATTAAATTCAAAGAGGAAAAGATGTCTTTTTATTAAAAGATCTGATGGACATAAGATTTTAAAAATGATCAAACTTAGCATCACCATTAATGAGACGAAATAGCACCATTTGCCTCCCTGATGTGATGCCATAAGAAAGACACAACATCATCAAGAATGTGGAATGCTTTTGTCCAACCTCTGAATCTGATCAATTCAGGAAAAGAAAATTAGGAAAAATGCAGATCATGAGCCGTTCTGTCAGAAGCCTGACCTAGACTCTTTAAAAATGTCAGTATCAGGAGAAATGAAATAAAGCCATGGGAGCTGTGCTGGTTTAAAGAAGACTGAAGAGATCTGAAACCTAAATGACATTGAAAAGTGTTGTACAATTTAGGGGGAAGATGACTAGAGAAAGTTGAATAAGAACTTTATATATTAGGTAATATCATGTGTCAATATATAATTTCTTGGGTGTGATAGTGATGTTGTAATGATGTAGGAGAATGTTCTTATCTTTAGGATATGCATGCTAGAGTATTTTGAGATGAAATGTCATAATACCTTCAATTTACTTTCAAGTGGAAAGCAAGAAAAAGGAAGGAATAGAAGAAGAGAAGGAAGGGAGGGAGGGTGAGAGGAAAGAGAAGGAAGGAAGGAGAGAGTGAGAGACAGCAAAGACTGGCTCCTGACAGGGTAATGGGGGCTAAAAGCATTCCAAGGAAGAAGATGAACTGGATCCAGGCTCACTGTTTCAAGCTAGGGGCTGAACTGAGGCTTCTCCCAGTGCTCTTGGCATTTCCTCGTTGAAAGAGACTTAAAAATAAGAAGCAAAGCACTGTCATCTACCACCATCTAGAACTACGAATTTCACCTGACTGAGGGCCTACCGAGGCTGGCTGTGGATGAGGTGAGCGCCCCCAGAGCAAACACTGTTGGCCTTCTACGAGGGTTGTGTTATCCCCATAATTGAAAAAACTGGAGCCCTCCCCTACGAAGGCCTGATTCTGGTCCAGGACTTCTGGAGGCCATTCTAAACCCTTAGGAAGAGTGGAGCCCTAAAGGAGAGACAGAAACCAAAAGCCAAGCAAAACCAAATCTCCTGCTCAAAATGAGCCTGCAACCAAACTCTCAGAAAAACACTACTTTGCATTATTATTTTTTTGTTTTTCATTCACTTAGGAGCACCATGTGTCAGGCTGCATCATCCCTGCCGCCATGACACATTGCAGTGTAGCAGGTGAGGCAGGTGACAGGCCTATAAATCTACACCATGTATTGTGGTAACTGATAGTCAGTAAAAGAGCAAGGTGCCATGAGACAGACTCAGAAGAAGGGATCTAATTTCTGGGGATCAAGGAAGTTCTCTCTGAAGACAGGACAAGTAAGCTCAGACTTGATTCATGAGGAATAATTTGTCAGTCAAAGAATGGTGGGGAAAACTTTCCAGGAAGCGGAAACATTGCACATGTGAAGGTCCAGAAGCAAGAAAAAGCTTCGTAGTTTCCCCACACTCAAAGGTCAAAGGCAAGAGAACAGGAAGCCAAAGGGAGAATGGAAGAGGAAGGCAGGAGGCAGGTGGTGCCAAGTCTTAACAGGACCAGGCAGGAGCTGCACTGTTCCTAATGGAAAATCACCAAAGATCTTGAAGCAGAAGGATGCTATGATTCATTTCAGCACTCAGTATTCTCTGAAAGCATCATCTTAGTTTATTTGTTCTCCCGCCACTGGTATATAAGATCTAAGACAGAAAAGCGTTTGTCTCTCATTTACTACTTCATACTGGCATACTGGAGGTGTTCCATATTTTTCCTGAGTAATAGAACTTTTTTTCTAAAAACTATATTGCAATTATGCAAAATATTAGAAAGTTAAAAAGGCCCTGAGACCCCACATTTCACTTCTTGACATATATTTAGAGGTACTATTACACATGCACCAGAGAGAGATGTACAAATGTTTACTGCAACATCAATTATGAAAAGAAAAAACCTGAAAATCATTTGAATGGCCAACAGAAAGATACATTATGATGTCTTGTTTTGATATACTCTAGAACAATTTAAATGAGTGAACTAAAGGTTCTTGTATTAACATGAACAAATATCAAAAACATGTTAAATGAAGCAAAGTGCTACAATCTGATACCATCTATACAATACCACCAATATTTAAAAACAATGCTAAATATTATGTAGCAAAGTACACTGCATGCATGAGAATAATAAACTCTAAACTGATATGCATGGTTGGTTAGCTGCAGGGAAGAAGAGAGGAGATGGCATGAGGGAAAGGGAGGGTGAGGCTTCAGCTCCTAACAACCGATTTTTCCTCGCTAAAAAACAAACAACAACAAAAAAACTATGAAGCAAATATAGTACAATGTTAAGACTCTATAAAACTTGATTGCTATTCTTATCTAAAAGTTTGAAATATTTTACAATAAAAGTTTAAGACTATTTTTTAAAAGTTAAGAACCTTGTGGAAGATGAGATAGGATTGGATTAGGAGAAACCATTTAGGAAATGTCAGTGGTCCAGGTAAGGCAAGACGATGGTCTGGGTTAAAAGAAAGCAATGGCGGTAAGGAGAAATAGATGGATATGTTGAGTTTGCAGTACTTCCTGACGCACTGGTTGGGGATGGGGAACTAGAGAAAGATAAAGAATCTCAGGTTTTAATTTGAGAAACTGTACAGATGGAAGCACCATTTACTGGGATGGGGAAGGGTGAGATGAAGGTGAAAGTCTACATATAAAGAAAGTCAAGAAGGTTGATAAAAAAACATTTAAAATTTTTTTAAAAAAAGAAGGTTGATAAATCAATGAGTGCATCCTGTGACCTAAATCAGTGGTTCTTTACTCTGGCTACAGGTGAGAATTACTTGAGAAGGTTGAATCAATCAGTATGAAGCTTTGGTTTTTAATTGGTTTTAAATGCTCATAAATGATTCTCATATGAGACCAATTGTACAAAATGATGAAGAGCTTAGTCACTAGTAAGATCAATACAGTTCACAAATAAGAAAAAAGCCTTAAAATGGGAAGGAAGAAAGAGAATATCATGGCATGTATTCTGGTGGTTATATATTAGTGATGTGGACCCTGTGAGACTGGACTTGAAAATCCACTCTGGAATAGGCAAGCATTTCTGCTCTTATCTTTGTGATGGTCTGTATCTCTGGAGAAGGGCCTCATCCACCACAGTTCAACTCTGAGTTAATCAGCCACCAAGACTACGGGGTATTCATTGCCAAAACAGTCAAAGCCACAAGAAAACAACAGACACAGGGATGCTCAGTCACGACCAAGGGGAACAAAAATACAGTAAATCCTCTTCACCCTCTTTTCAACTCTCTACATTCACCTGATAAACTTTTAACTAGAGGAGAAAAAGATAATTATATTAATATATGTGGTGTTAACCTTCCAATTTAAAAGCTGAGAAGAATGATTCATTTCATTAAGTCTTAATGGTTGTTTAAATATAATGCATGGTAAAACATACTTTGTCCATGTCTTCATCACACTATTTATGGGAATATTCTCCCAAATTAAATCAAAATTTGATATAATTCATCTAATGAGAGGTCAGGAGAGTTGATACAATTGCATACTTCCCTAATTATATTAATCCTCTAGATTAATTTCCAACTTAAGAAAATTAAGAAAGCTGAGCCCAAAATTGAGCTTTAAATTAATGGCAGGAGATAAAGAAAACTAAGAATAACTGGATAAAGGGACATACTACTCTGATATTATAGAAGGAATGAAAGCTTAAAAATGGAAGATAGCGAAAAATAGATCTTGCTAGCCAAGCAATGATCACAAGTGAGTACAGTAGTAAGAGAAACTTAGGACACTGTGGAACACACAGTGTGGGGGTGGGGTGTGGGGGTGGACCTATCAAGGAAAGTGAAATTTTTAAGCTGTCAGCCAAAGGATCAGTGTCCCAGGAAGAGGGAATAGTATTTAAGACTCGGAGGCAATAGAAAGCTGGGGAATCTGAGGAAACGAAAGAAGCTGAAGATGGTCCTCTAGGGAAGAGCCAGAGATGGAGCAAAACTGAGCAGCTCGAGGCTGAGGAAAGGGTGCTTAGTCACCAGGTATTTGAATTGTGAATTTACCATAGAGGAACGGGGAGTCACTAGAGGGTTTTAAGAAGGTAGAAGGGAGTAATGTGACTGATTCCTCATTTTAGAAAGAGTTCTTATGGCTTAAATGTAAAGAATGAACAGGAAATAAGAGATCCAGGTGAGAGAGATACCATCTCTAGACTGGGATGGTGGCTGCTGGTG